GGCAGGTGTTAGAGGCCCGATCTGGGAGGTGAGGGAAGTGGCATTAGAACTGAGCAGGGGTTAAGTCTTAGCACAAAGAAGCTGTAGGCAGCCACTGCAGCAGGAGTTCAATCCCCTACCTGGGAGGGGAGGTGACTCATATGGCATAGCAGACCTCTCCTGTCTCTCCTCCCCCACTCCCTTCAGCAGTGTATTTTGCTCCCCACTCTGTCTCTGGTGAATCCTCTCACCATCCCCAGCCCCTGCACCTCTGGCCTTGTACCCTAGCTCTTGTACACATAAATAATAAATCTTTTTTATGCATACAAGAACTGGATTGTAAACCAGAGGTACGGGGCACAGGGTGAGAGGATTCACCAGAGAGAGTGGGGAGCAGAACAAGCAGATCTACTGAAATACACTGCTGAGGGGAGCAGCGGGCCAGGCAGGAGAGGTCTGCTGAGCCATGTGGGTTGCTCCCTGGCTGGCCAGGGATCGAACTCGTGCTGTAGTTTCGAACTCGTGCTGTAGTGGCTTCGAACTCGTGCTGTAGTGGCTGGCAGTAGCTTGATAGCACTGTCTTTAATCCTTGCGCCACCAGGGATGCCACCCAATAAATCTTTAAAAAAAAAAAAAAAAAGAGCTGAGTGCCAAGGAAGGTAAGGGTTAACCACAGTGGGGGAGGGTGAATTCCTGGACCAAGTAGCTGGAGCCTAGCCTGGGTAAGGGGTGAAGCATGAGTGGAGAGGTGGCTGGGGTTGGCTTGTCCCAGCAAGCCCAGCGTGGTGGGCCCCAGAGAGGATATAAAGTCTTTGAAGGTCTTTAAGCTAAGGAGTAAAGTGATCAAATATCAGGGATGTAACTTTGGAAAAAAAGACTTTCCTGGATTGAAGAACCAGTTTGGTGGCAGGGGGACCAGTAAATTGGCTGCTGTAGAGTCTTAAACTTCCCCATCCACATTCTCATTTTTAAAGACAGAGGAAATGGACTCCTGTCTCTGCAGAGACCATAGGAATTTCTTTTGAAATCTTGTGTGTTTTACATTATTTTTGCTAATTACCTTTCTTTTTTTTCTTTTTTGCCAGAGACAATACATGAAATAATTTAAGAACAAAAAATATCAGGGATGTAACTTTGGAAAATAAATTTTGCTGCAGTTCTAAAGTGCAAAGATCCAGTTCAACTCAGAAACTCCAACAGTTAGCAATTTCATTAATATTCTTCTAGAGTTAGTCTATACATAAGAATGCAGATATATATACTCTATTGTTTTAAAATGTCATACTATATCAAATCATCACTTTATCAACTTTAAGTATCTTACACTTTTACTTGTTAATATATCATTAAAACTGAAAAAAAAAAAAAAAAAACCCAAACAAATAAATATGTAAACAGCATACCCGGGCCTCCCCAGTGGCCTAGTGGTTGAGCCCTGGGTTGCAGGATGCGGTGCCAATTCCATCCCTGGCTGCTCCGGCCACCTGAGGAGGGTCCCGCATGGCACACAGACCTCTCCTGCCACCCGCTGCTCCCCTCAGCAGTGTACTTCTGTCCTTCTGCCTGCTCTGCTCCCCGCTCTGGCTCTGGTGAATTCTCTCACCCTCCTGTGCTTCTGACTGTACCCAGTGCCTGTATAAATAAATAAATAAATAAATAAATCTTTAAAAAAAAAAAAAAACCTCCGCATACCCTATCTTTGTTCATTTTCAAATGTATTTGAGAGGGTTCCCCTTGGTTGTGCAAGGAGTTAAGTCTCAGCACAACAAAGCTGTCTGATCCCTCCCCAGGGTGCTAACCCACATGGCACAACAGACCCCTCAGCAGTGTATTTCAGTCAATCTGCCTGTTAATACACCCCACTCTGTCTCTGGTGAATCCTCTCACCACCCCATCCCCTGCACCTCTGACATGGACCCCAATTCTTGTATGCATAAATAAATAATTAAAAAAATACAACTATAATTCTATCATTTCCTTGCTTGAAAAATAATTTTTTTTTTTTTTAAAGGCCAAAGGTGGGGGTTGGGAGTGAGAGGATTCATCAGAGACAGAGTAGGGCGCAGAACAGGTGGATTGACTGAAATACACTGCTGGGGAGAGCAGTGGGTGAGGCAGGAGAGGTCAGCTGTGCCACGTGGGTTATCTCCCTGGCTGGGGATCAAACTCTCAAACTCATGATGCAGTGACTGCTGTTAGCTTCATAGTGCTGAGGCTTAACCCCTTGTGCCACCAGGGAGGCCCTGGTTCCTTCTTGCTATGAGAGTAGTAGTAGCACTCCTGGTAGATTAGTTCTAGTTTTACAGGAGTCATTCCTAATATCCAGCCCAGGGCTTTTGACTTCTATATGTAGAGTGATTTCAAGCAGGGCCTTCCATAGCTGTCTGTCCAGTGGAAGGCTGTAGTGGGTGTGCTGTAGTTTGTTTCTAAATCTCAACTGATATACTGGACTTCATTTAGTTTCTAGAATTGGCCAGGCCTCCCCCCACTATAGCATTGCTCCCCCTTTTGCCTAGGCTAATACCCTTGCCACCACCTAATTTAATGTCCACCCCCATCTTTCAATTAACTCCTTATATGTTTTTTCCTTCTTAGATAAAATATTTTCTCTGGAAGTTATTCTTGACTTCTAAGACCAGATCAATTTTCCTTGTTAAACTCATTATCACTCTTTTTCTTTCAATGCATTATCATAGTTTGTAATTATGGATTTGTGTGACTCTACAATTTGAGGAAGGAAACTATTTTGCTATATTCCATCACTTAGAAAGGGTTGGAGGTTAACAAACATGTGTTGAATGAATGAATGGAATGGAGGCTGGAGGGTGTTAGGACAAAATCAAGACTCTTAATTGACAGTGACTTGTGTCACCTCTTATTGGCCTTTTCCGAACCACACCTTCCTGTGATTTTTCAGCCAGCCTCAACAGGCTGTGTTCTGTGGCCTCCAGGTCCTTGCATCGGTTGTTTCTGCTCCTTGGTTTTCTTTTTTTTTTTTTTTTAAGATTTATTTATTTATTTATACAAGCACTGGGTACAGTCAGAAGAAGCGAGAGAGGGTGGGAGAACTCACCAGAGCCAGAGCGGAGAGCAGAACAGGCAGAAGGACCAAGGTACACTGCTGAGGGGAGCAGTGGGCGGCAGGAGAGGTCTGCGCGCCATGTGGGGATCCTCGCCCGGTGGCCGGCGGCAGGGGATCAAACTGGCGCTGCAGAGGCTCGAACTGGTGCTGCAGAGGCTCGAACTGGTGCTGCAGAGGCTCAAACTGGCGCTGCAGAGGCTCAAACTGGTGCTGCAGAGGCTGCAGGCAGCTTCGCAGCTTCGCAGCCCTGTGCTCAACCGCTGCGCCACCGGGGAGGCCCCAACTGCTGCTTGGTTTTCTTCCCTCTTCATAAGTTTTTTTTTTTTAAAAAGATTTATTTATTCATGCATACAAGAATGGGGTACAGGCCAGATGCACGGGAGGATGAAAGGATTCACCAGAGACAGAGCGGGGAACAGAACAGGCAGACTGACTGAAATTTACTGCCGAGGGGAGCAGCGGGCAAGACAGGAGAGGTCTGCTGTGCCATGTGGGTATCTCCGGTGCCAGCAGGGATCGAACAGGCACTGCAGAGGCTGCAGACAGCTTCACAGCGCAGTGCTCAACCGCCTGCGCCGTCAGGGGAGGCCCTATCAGGCTCTTATAATCTTGCAAGTTTCAAGAGAGACACCTTTTCCGGGAAACCCCAACTCCAGAAAATTCTATACTCAGGTTTATTTTTTCAGAATATTTAAAAGTAATTAATACTATTTTAAAAATTGTCTATTTGTTCTTTATGTGTGTCTCCCTCTGCAAATACACTGCCTTGTTCATGGTATAAGCAGAGCACCTTGCACAGGGCCTGCCTCTAACAGCCCTCACTGTTTGCTCAAAATTGTATGTTAGTTAGTTGGGAGCCAGTCTGGGGCACTCCAGGAGCCCAGGTACTGAGAGGAATTGTAATTTGAGGGTTGCTAGATCAAGAGAGGAAGCTGGGGGAGGTTGTTCAGCTCTAGCCCAAGGCTTGGACCCTGGGCTGATAGGCAGGAGGCCCTAGAGCGGATCCAGTGGGGGATGGGCAGGGAAACAGTTTCTTCCTCTGCGCCATCTAGGAGAGTTGGGAGGAAGGGGTGGAGAGAGGGAAGATTCCTTCCAGGGAGGCTCCCTGGCTGTGCGCCTGCTAGGAGGAAGGGGGTGGGGAATATGATGAATGCAGGCTTTCTCCAGGCCTCAGGCCTCCAGACCCAAGAGGGAGGAAAACGGATAAAGGGAAAAAGATGAGGGGGGGAGAGAAGGGAGGGAGGGAAGAGCCTGTATGCTTTGGGAGACAAGGAGAGGGTCTGAGCTGGCTCTAGAAGGCAAGGCTCCCCTCAAATCACTGAGTTAGAGAACAATACCTTGGCAGCTTTAACATCTCAAGTCAATTCTAAAGAATTCGGTCTTCCAGGCTAGCCCGGAGGAGTAAGCCAGGCCTCTGGGAAGTTTCCTGAAGCCTCCTTTCTCTCCAACTCTCTTATAGCCGGAGGAAATGCATTTTCTTTAAAAGTCCATGAGTGTCTTGTATTCAATTTGTGGCACTTACACTAACTGTGAGATAATGATGAAACACCTTTCTTCGTTCCCACTGCTTTGTAATCTCCTGAGGGCAGACATCCCTCACTTAGTATGTGCACAACTGAGGTCTCAAATCTGGCTGTGCATCAGAATTGCTTGGGGATGATTACTAACAATATTTTCACTCACTCCAGTAATTATGATTCCTTGGAGCTGAGTTTGGACTTAAAACCAAGCTTTAACAGCGTGCTAAGCGATCGTGACAAACAGGGTTTAGGTAACAACTCCAAAGGGCCTGGCACAACATAGTAAGTGCTAAGTGTTGCCAGCAGGGGCTGGAAATGTATTTGCAGGGTAAACAAATGTGGTGTAGGAAGTATGGATTGAACCACCATCATTGTGCTGTGCACCTAACACTTTGAAAGGAAATAGAGCAGCAGTGTTAGCAATACAAAAGATAAATATTTATTCAGAACAAAACTTTTAACAATCGATTTTACATTCTAAGCCACAAGGAAATAGCAAAATGTAAAGCAAAGTAAAACCAAAAATTAAAAGAAAAGCAGTGTATTGTTTTTTCAACTTTAACTTGATAACACTTAGTTAACACAATGCCCTCTTGCTTGACCTATTTTGCAAGTACATTTTAGAGTTAACAGCTCACTTTTAATTCTGGATTAAAGTCTCCTTCCTCCTGAGAGTTAGGAGGTTGCAGATGAGCTTCAGTTAGTTGTTGCTCTGGGGTTTCTAGTTATTGAGGCTAAGGTGTAATTGTAAACTGGTGGTGGGTTTTCTTACTCAGGAAAACCCCCACTTCTCACTGGTGGCAATGCATGGGGAAGGGGAAGGCCCCAAAGGAGCTGGAACCCTTTAAACTAGATATGACAGCCCAGGGAGCAATGCGCACACCCTGGATTACATTCCTATGTCCCTTCCCTATCTCTCTAGCATGCAGGAGCCCTTTAAACCTGTTTCCTCCACCAGATGATATCTTAGTATTCCTTTAGGCTCATTATCCTGAAGAGAGCAGGCTTTCTGGGCCCTCAAGTGTTGAGGAAAATGTTGTGAAGTGTGAGAGGTAGTGGAATGAGCACCGGGTTTGGGGTTAGGGAACTCTAGGCTAGTTCTGGCACCAGACAGCTATGTGATTTTGACCCAGTCATTTAATTGTTCTGGGTCTGTTTCATCTGTTGGAAGATGGGGATTGGCCTAAACCAATTTGTAGGTTCCTTTCCAGCAGGAAAATTCCAGATTTCATGATTCTATGAAAAATGGCATCTGAGTCACTAAAAGAGCTGTCACATAGTCCATTAATTTTTAAGCCTTAAGAGAGGCCCCTGGCCACCATTCAGAGCTTATTGACTCAGATTACATACACTTTCTAACAACACTGGTTTCACAAAATGTCAGATCACATAGATTAGAAGCAGCAAATTAAAAGGGGAAGGGAAGAGCTGCAATAGGTAGACACCCTGACAGAAGCACAGTCAACAATGTTCTCAATTCAACAAACACTGGAGTGCCTACGAGGTGCTGGGCCCCGTAACTAGCGCTGGGGCGTAAATATGAGCAAGGCAGCCCAAAGGGTGAAAATCTAGGGAGAACACAAGGAGTGGGGAGTAAAAGTTACAAAATCAAACCAAAAAAAAAAAGAAATTCCCCAAATACAAAAACAAAACCAAAATTTAAAAAAAAAAAGAGGGACATATGTGCACACTACAGTTCTGTGATGACAGAGTCATCAATTCAGAAAAGGCTGAAACGGAGTAAACTTGGTTTAAGAAGGCGGAGAGAGATGTCTTGTAGGTTTTAAAAAGGTCTCCTTCAAAAACGATAAAAAATGGTTTAAAAAAAAGTTTTGGCACTTAAGAGGGGTAAGCTGGCTGTGTGTTCACCCTGGCAGGCAGGCGGGTGTTCAGTGCCCGGCCACGCCGGTTAGCTGAGTTGACACGGAATTGTGGACGGCTTTGGGACACTGGGCAAAGGCGTGTCCTCGCTTGCCACAGAGGTTGCACACGATGCCCTTCCGGCAGTAAGGGCTCAGGTGCCCCTCCTCCCCGCACCTGAAGCACCTGTCCTGCGTGCAGCTGCCGCTCATGTGGGTCCGCGAACCACATTTAAAGCACGTCTTGGGCTGCCCCTTGTACCAGCTGTAGCCCCTCTCGGCCCCCAAGAAGAAGGCCCCCGGCAGGTGCCTGACCCCGCCCTCCCCCTGGCGCAGCTCGATCTCGCACTTGTACTCCCCGGTCCAGATCCCAAACCTGTCGGTCACTTTCACCGGCACGGCCAGCACGTCGCAGTGGCGCTTGAGCCAGGTCACGATGTCCTCCACGTCCACCGTCTCGTTCCGGAAGAGGATGAAGAGCGTCTTCAGGCTGGACTTGCTCCGCCCCAGCACCACAAAGTTCTCCCAGCAGTCCTCCTGCTCGCGCTTCTCCTCGTAGACGCGCAGGAACAGGGCCAGCTTCTCGGCGGAGCGGAAGCTCACGTCGAACTCGCGGCTGCCCGGGATCTGGATGACCGCGTAGATGTCGCCGGGGTCCATGCCGATGGAGCGCAGGATGAGCGCGCCCACCACGAAGTCCCGGGTCGGGCAGGCGCCCTCGTCTCCCTGGAAGCAGATGCGCACGAGGAAGCGGCCCTTGCCCGGGCCGCCCGCGGGGCCCGCCGCCGCCTGCTCGTCCTGCGGGGCCAGCTCGGCCACGTCCTCGGCCGTCCCGGGCCTGGCCGGGGCCGCCATGGCCGCCGGCTCGGCCTTCTTCCTCTTGCCCGCCTCGACTGCGCCCTTCTTCTTGCGGGGGTCCGCCGCCTCGGCCGCCGGTTCTCTCCGGCCGCCCTTCGGGTCCCCGCGCCCGGCCGGCGGGAAGTCGCCGAGGCCCGGAGCCGCGAGGCCCGCGGGGGCCCCGAGCCCGCCGCCCGCGCCCCCGCTGCCTTCCTCCTCCCGCCGCGGCGCGCGCGACTCGCGGAACTCGCCCTTCTTCTCGGCCAGATTCTTCACCACCTGGGCCCAGCCCATCTTCTCGCGGCCGCCCTCGGCCTCCTCGCCCCGGGCCGCGGGGCGCGCGGGGGGCAGCAGCTGCGGCCGCCCCCGCTTCCTCTCCTCTTCCGCGCCGCCGCCGGTGGCCATTTTACCTCCTTCCCAGCATCCTCCACTCGCTCCCGCAGCCAAAGGGCGCCCATCGCGCGCGCCCGCCCGCCCGGGGCTGTGGGGGTTTGGGGATTTTTTTTTTCCCCCCTGAAATTCGACGCTTCTCTCCCCCGCCTCCTCCCCCCAAAGGTATTTACACGCGGCGCCCGGAGCCCCCCGCTAGCCGGGCCGCGCTTCCGCCCGCGCGCGCTCCGACCCCACCTCCGCGGCGCCCGGGCGGGACGGGGCCTTGGAGCGCGTCCTTGTCCCTCGCGAGCGCTTGGCAGCCCCCGGCCTTGCTCTCGAGGATTTGCTGTTTCGCAAGCGGCCCTGGATGATTTCATTCGAGTAGTGTTACTAACGGTCCACGGGGCAAGGGCGGGGTAGCGTGCTGCAGGCTCTCTCCCGTTTTGCAGGCTCTCTCCCGTTTTGCAGGATCTCTCCCGTTTTGCTGTTGCTTCGTTTTACCTTTTCTAGTCAGAAAAACAGAAACAGAAACGGTGCCTAGCCCGGCCCCCTCCTGAAGCGTGCCCCCATGCACTTGCCCTGATGGTCCAGTGTTGGCTTGGGAACACTTTTCAGACACACGGAAAGTTGGAAGAATTTTACAATCAACTTTATACCATTGTCGTTTGAGTATTTCCGCCATCGCCCACATTGTGTATACTCCGACACGCTACCCATAGGCTTCACTCCTTATTTTCGGATAGATTTCCAAGTAAGCCATCTTACATTGTGTTTTTCAGAAGCTTGCCATCGCACTCCTGAGGTCGTTTATACTGAGCGATTAAGTGTCCAGTACTGTTCTAAGCACATTGCAAGCATTATCACATGAAATCTACCCAAACAATGCTGTAATTATACTCATTTTACGGGAGGCAGGGGCTTGAGACTGGTTGGGGGGAGGTGGGAGGAGTGGCAGGGTGAGGTTTAAATTACTTGGCTGAGGTAGCAAAGTTAATAGGTGGCACCAGATGTAGGTGGTTAATATTTCTTCAGTGCTTTGCTGTAGACTTTAAGGATCATGGATGATTTGCACCATACTCTCCAATAAATCTCTTTTTTAACATACAGATTTCCTGGCTAAAGTTAGTACAGGACAGCATTTCTATTCCTCATCTCACGCCACTGGCACTTTGGAAGTATTGGTAAAACTAGGGTAGCTGAGGGGATGGGTTTAACATTATTCCGTCGGCTTTGCTTAAGCACATGTGTATGTATTTGAGGGTGCTTCAGTGACTCCCCTACTTTAGGGCAAGAAAACGTGGATTATGGACTCAGGGAGACCCAAGTTTGACTTCACTGCTGCAAATCTCAGCCCTTCTACAAGGTGTCAATTGTTTGATGACCTCAATGTGAAACCATGTATGGCAGTTAGCAGAGTGTAAAGATATAGCAAGTTTGGATATATGTCCTGGACAATATTAAATCCTATACAAAATGATACTCATTTGTGTGGGATTTCTTTACCAGTAAAATCAGAATGTTATAGGGGGAGCAGCAGTGACAAATGAGGCTGGATTGGAGTGACTTTTGTAATATTGGCTGAGTTCTCCAGAAAGCTTCCTCTTAGAGGTCTTGCTTTCTCCTTGGGGCTCTGCTCCCTTCCACCACTTCTATTCTTACGGAGTCTGCATTTTTGGCATGTCCCAGTGTTTCATCAGCCCAAACCTCTTTACTCATTCTTTCATATATTTCTGGGAGTAGCACTTCACCTTTTGATGGAGCATCCTGAGTAGGTACCATCTGGAATCACAAGACATGTTGTGGGGGGTACTTATAGGTGCAGCCTCTCAATTTGGGGTGAGAGAATAATCCGTGCATTAAGTTTGTTAAGCATCATAGCCGAGGAGAGGAATTGGACACTCCTCCATGTACGGAAATGAGGTGTGACATTTCAAATAATTCTACCTTCCAATACAGATTATTCTATTAGATATTTTGGAACACTTGAATTGAATGCTCAAAAGAAATGCAGTGCAATTCAAATCATTTTTTTTTAAAGTTTTATTTTATTTTTTTTAGAGGCTTATTTATTTACCTTTTTTTAATACATTTTTTACATCATTTTTCGTTTTTGCACAACATAGCATTTTCATCTTGGTTATATTCCCCATATAATTCCCACCCCCCCTTATTTTGACTCTGATTCCCCCTCCCCTAGCCCCCTCAAATCATATTCTTAGGATTTTTAAGAGGGGAAAAATTTGGGAGCTCTGGTCTAGGGCTCTGTAGTACCATTTATTCCCTACTGAAGTTAAGGTAATTTCAAATGACTTGCTCCCTCCAAATTATTTTTTATTTTTTAAAAGTTTTATTTATTTATGTATAAAAGAGCTGGGGTACAGGCCAGAGGTGTGGGGGTGAGAGAATTCACCAGAGACAGAGTGGGGAACAGAACAGGCAGATTGACTGAAGTACACTGCTGCGGGGAGCAGGAGGTGAGTCAGGAGAGGTCTGCTGTGCCATGTGGGTTCTCCCTGGCTAGCTGGGAGATCGAATTTGTGCTGCAGAGGCTGTGGATAACTTCATAGGTTGCATCTTAACCCCTTGCACCACCAAGAAGGCCCTAATTTTTAAACTGCAGTACACTTTAAAATCTTTGCTCTACCTTGGGCTTCTGTAGGTCCACAAGGGGTTAAATCTCAGCACTACCAAGCTATCACCAGCCACTGCAGCACAAGTTCAATGCAGGGCCAGGTTGCTAACCCATATTGCACAGCAGACCTCTCCTGTTCTACCTGCTGCTCCCCTCAGCAGTGTATTTCTTTCTTTCTTTTTTTTTTTTTAAGATTTATTTATATAAGAGCCGGGGTACAGGCCAGATGCGCAGGAGGGTAAGAGGACTCACCAGAGACAGAGCAGGGAACAGAACAGGCAGACTGCTGAAATACACTGCTGAGGAGAGCAGCAGGCCAGACAGGAGAGGTCTGCTCGCCATGTGGGTTGCTCCAAGACTGGCGGGGATGGAAGGGGCACTGCAGAGGCTGTGGACAACTTCACAGTGCTGTGCTCAACCACCTGCGCCACCAGAGAGGCCCCCTCAGCAGTGTAATTCAATTAACCTGCCTTTTCTGCTCCCCACTGTCTCTAGTGAATCCTCTTGACCCCCACATCTCTGGGCTTACCCCAGCTCTTGTATGCATTAATAAATAAAATACATCTTAAAAAAAAATCTTTGCTCTATCTCACAAATCTGGGGTGTGGAGAACTGGAGAGGGGCAAGTGTGGGAGCTAGTACTGTAGTCCAGCTGTGAGAGGAAAGAGGGGTATGTGTAAGTATGGGTGGTGGTAGTTAAGGGTCCAAGATATATTTTGAAGGTATTGCTGTCAGAGCTGGATGTGGGTTGAGAGATGAATTATGAGTCAAGGATGCTTCCAGGAAGAGAGCTGCCATTCTGAGTTGGGGTGAAATATTTCTGGGGAAAGATTGTATGGTAGAGTTGGAGGCATTTGGTTGGGAGAAGTTGGAGACGTGAGTCTGGGAGGCATCTGGATAGAGATGGCATCGGAAGTCATGAAACTAGAGCACCAATAGAATGAGAGCAGGTAGAGAATAAGAGAAGACTGCATCTAGGAGGAAGGGACTCCAATAACTGGGAGAAGAGGAGGAACCAGCAAAGGAGACTGAAAAGGAGATAGGAAGCAACTCAAGAGTGGTTTCCTGTACCTCTAGTTTAGAAGATGTTTCACGGAGGAGTAATCCACTGTGGAAATGGATCAAGGAAATGGAGGCTTCAGAAGTAACTCTGGGGTTTAACAAAATGGAGGCCACTGTGGCATCAACAAAGACAATTTTATTGGAGAGTGAAGCCTGGGTGATTAGGCAGTGAGGAATGGGGTAGGATTCAGAGCACCATTGTAGGAGTCAGTCTTAGGTAGTTGATAGAGTCACAGGAGGGATATAGGTATGCGGGTAAATGAGGTGATGCAAACTTGTGAGTTTACTCTCCCAACGATGATTTTCTCAGTGAAACAGGAGGCAAAGTCATTAGCAATGAGTGACCAGGGAGAATGAAGTGATGGTAGGTTAACAGAATGGAAAAATATGACATAATTCTCTATGATTATGGGCAGGACAAGATCAAGGGTTTTTAAAAAAATTATATATATATTTTACATCATTCTTCATTTTTATACAATGCATGCTTTCTCCACTCAGTTGTAGTCCCCGATAAATTCCCACCGCCAACTCACCCGGGTACCATAACCATAGTCCCTTGTGCTCTTCCCACCCCGGTTTTGAAGATCAAGGGTATTCGAATCCAAGTTGAATAGCAAGTGGGAGAGTTACATTTTCTTTAGCGAGATTCGACCCTCTAGGCACTCCGTAGTTCGCGTCCGTTTCCTTGGAGACCGAGACCGGAAAGAAAGCGTCCAGTTTCTGGGAAGTTCGAGTGGCCTAGGGGACCGCGCGATTCATGCTGAGATAAGGAAATCGGAGAAGCCAAATAAATAGGCATCCCAAGAGACCAGGGCCTCACGGACTCACGACTCGTCTTCCCTTTTCTCCAATGGCGCTGGTCGTGCAGAAGTAGGTGAAAAATAGCATGGGGTAGGGGTGGGGCGGGCGGGCGATGGTGCGCATGCGTGCTTGCCCCCCCTCCGCTTGGTCCCTGCGGCGAGGTCTTCCCGCGGTCTTTGGCCCCGCCCACCACGGCCTTATATAGCTAGCTCCGCCCCCTTCATGCTCCAGCTGCAGGTCTGTCCTCGTCCCTGGTAAACTGCGGTTTGGGTTGGAGACCCCACGTCTGTTTTTCACCATTGCTGCTTGTGGTCCCAATGGGGTTGGGGATTATGGACCTTCTTTTCCTCCCCGACTCTTTACAGGCCGAGTCACTATAGCATTCGCGCCTCAAACCACAAGTTCCACAAGGATCTGGTGAGTCAGAAGGGGATGGGGGCTCATCACTTTTGTCCTCCTGTGTCACACCCCCACGCTTGGGACTGCCCTGGCTGATAAGAGCGTGGAGACCTGAAGTCCAGACCCAGCTGTGGGACACAGGACATGTTTCTGAACCCCAGTTTGCTCATAGCTTTATCAGAATACAAACGTATGTTAGACTGCTTTCTTACTTGTCTTTCTTTGCTGCTCTCATTCCCTATGGGTTCTTTTACATGCTTTCTTTTTCTCTCAGTTCTTAACATCTCAGAGCCTGTATGTGTTTAGTTAATTCTGAGTGGCTGATAAAGTGACAACTAACATTTATGGGGTACTTATCACATATTTTGCAATTCCTGTGTTGGAATTCTTGCACCAACCCATGGAGTAGGTTTTATTATTGGATCCAGTTTACAGATCAGAAAATTGAGGCTCAGAGAGGTATCTGTGACTTGCTCACGGTCACTGATGTCTGTTAGGGGTGAAGCTGATGCCTGCAAAATTTGAACCCATCAGTTGTGTGACTGATTGTATTATGTCTGTTAGGCCTATGTTCCATGGCAGCGGTCCAACCAGAAAACCAAGCCATCTGCTCTTCCTCCAGTCCAGCAAGCCAACGGCCACAAGAAAGGCAAAATGAAGTCTTTCACTAGCATTCAACCAGGTGGGCAGAGGCATGTCGGGGACTGGTGGTGGGGTTGGGGTCAGGACAAATTACCCATTTATTTGAGGGTAGGCTAACCCCTAAAACAACTCCCAGATTTCAAGTATTAATACACATTAATAAAAAGAAAAGAGGGAGTTGAATTGTATCTTTAAAAGAACTTTTCCTGCTCTAGTGTCTTATTTTGTGTGTGGTCCTGAGCCCAAGAGAGAGATAATGGTTAAATTGAGACTATATTTTTCAAAACCATCATTTTCCCCTAGAAATGATGGTTTATTTCTCATTTCTGTCAGAGTACATTCGTGGATCTGCAAAGAGTAGGTAATCTTTTCCACGTGATCATTCAGGGATCCAGGCTTCTTCAACCTGTAGCTCATTTTGTAAGATCTTGAAGTCCTCTGCTTAATAGTTGTGTACCCAGCTGGCAGAGAAGGAAAGGAGAGAACAAGAATATAGATGATTTTGTATTTAGTTTTGGGGGTGCCCAGACTTGTAGCCACACATATCATTCCCACTCATACTCCAGTGGCCATGACTCAGACACATGACCTGAACACAATGGAAGATGAGAAATGTATTCCAGCTTTGTGTCCAGGAGGAAAATAAATCAGGGTTTGATGAATTCAGAATAATCTCTGCCACATCATCCTCATGCTTTCCAGGGGGTTCTGAGGCCTCAGCCCAGACATAGGTTCAAATCTTGGCTCTGCCATTTACTCACTTGGGGAGGTCATTGATCTCTCTGATCTTTAGTTTTCTCAATTGTAAAACGAGTACACTAATATCTCATAGGGCTGTAAGAATTAAATGAGATCTATGATGTAAAGCCTCATTAGTCAACACTATCAGACTCAGTGTTCCTAAATAACAAATATTTTGTACTATTACTTAGTGTCCTAAATTAGCTTCATAGATTATATAACTTACCTATTTTTTTGATTACAAAAAAAGAAAAAAAACAACAAAAACCAAAATAATACCCTAATTGTAAAGGAATAATAAGAGGAAAATTGTTTGTCACTAAATAATATATATTTCTGTATGCAAATGCTTAGGTTGGGCTCCACTAGAAGACACATGAAAGTCATCAGAACATAGTTGTAGAATCACAGTGAATATAATGGTTGCAAATGTAGACTGAAGTGTTGGGTTACCGGGACTCGAGGGGTTTTCCCACTGCAGCCATGCTTTCCAAAATGGTTCCCCTGTCTTGGTAAAGTTCTAAACAAAGCAAAGTATATGATTCCCTTGATTGTAGCTGCTTCACTGGAAGATTCAGCATTTCAGTAAAGCCCTGCAAAATAGTTTTTGGTTTATTTATTTTTAAAGATTTATTATTACTGGCCTCCCCGGTGGTGCAGCAGGTTGAGTACCGCCCTATGATGCTGTCCGCAACCTCTGCAACGCTGGTTCGATTCCTGGCCGGCCAGGGAGAAACCCACATGGCGCAGCAGACCACTTCTGCCTTGCCTGCTGTTCCCCTCAGAACAGTCCTTCTGCCTGTTCTGCTTCCTGCTCTGTCTCTGGTGAATTCTCTCACCCTCCTGTGCCTCTGACAGTACCCCAGTTCTTGTATAAATAAATAAATCTTTAAAAAAAGATTTATTATTATTTATTTATGCATACAAGAACTGGGGTGTATGCCAGAGGTGGGGGGTGAGAGTGTTCACCAGAGAACAGAGTGGGTAGCAGAATAGGCGGATTGACTGAAACACACTGTTGAGGGGAGCAGCAGGTAAGACAGGAGAGGTCTGCTGTGCCATGTGGGTCAGCTCCCTGGTCAGGGATGGAACTCATGCTGCAGTGGCTCATAGCTTGATAGTGCCAGGGAGGCCCTAGTTTTTGGTTTATATGTAAAGCATAGTCACGTTCTAGGGTTTGGTCATTATAAATAGGGCTTTCACCTATATTGCTAACTAATAGGACTTGGGAAAGTTATTCAGGACATAGGACAAGTCTATGTTCTATGGGACTGTCCAGTCCTGGGGGATATCTAGCATCCCTGTCCTCATCCCACCCACAGATACAAGTAGTGTCCCCATCCCCCATATTTGTGAAATTCTTCGCCACAAGTGGTGCTGGAGGCCCTGGATATTCATAGGAAACAACAAACCTGATTTAAGTCTCAAAGAGTATACAAAACTAACTCAAAGTGTAAATGTAAAACAAAAAGTATGGGTAAAATGTGAAAATGTGAAACTTTTAGAAGAATAAATATAGGCGAGAAAACTCTTTGGGACTCATGGCCAAGTGAAGCTTCTTAGACTTCACACTGACATTCAATCCAGAAAAGAGAAAGGAAAAAAGTGAATAAGTTGGACTCCTTTCTTTCTGTGAAAGACCCCATTAGGAGAGTGAAAAGACAACTATAGATTTGGAGAAAATATTGCAACGAGACTGCTATGTACAACACATAGCGAATGCTCAAAACTCAGTAGTCAAACAAACAATTCAGTCAGAACATGGGCAAAAGACACAAAGACTTTTCACTGAAGAGGATTTACATATGGTAAATAAGCACATGAAAAGATGCTCACCATCATTATCCATTAGGGGTGTGCAAATTAAACTACAGTGATATGTCACTGCACATGTGTGAGAATGATGGAAAATAAAAAATAGCAGTAACGCCAAATGGCACAAAGAGGAGAAACTGATCATGCATACTTTGTTGGTGGAGATGTACAATGGTGCAGCTCCTCTGGAAGTTTCTTTTTTTTTTTTTTTAAAGATTTATTTATTTATGCATACAAGAACGGGGGTACAGGCCAGAGGTGCCAGAGGTGAGAGGACTCACCAGAGACAGAGTGGGGAATAGAACAGGCAGATCGAACTGAAATACACTACTGAGGGGAGCAGCGGGCGAGACAGGAGAGGTCTGCTGCACCATATGGGTTGCTCCCTGGATGGGGATTGAACTTGTGCTGCAGTGGCTGCGAATAGTGTCATAGGTTGCGTCTTAACCCCTTGCGCCACCAGGGAGGCCCTCCTCTGGAAGTTTCTAATGAAACTAACACACAGTTGCCAAATGACCCAACAATTGCATTCTTGGGCATTTATTCCAGGAAGATGAAAACTTAGGGTCACATAAAAACCAGTGCCTGAATGTTCATAGCAGCCTTATTCATAATGCCCTGAGACTAGAAGTGATCCAGATGTCCTTTAATGGGTGAATGGTACACCCTTACCATGGGATACTATTCAGCAATGAAAAGGAAAGAGTTATGCATATACTCACTATCTGGGATGGATCTCTAGAGAATTATGGTGATTGAAAAAACCCAATTGCACAAGTTACAAACTGTGTGATTCCATTTATATAATATTCTGGGAATGACAAGGATAGAACTGGAGAACAGATTAGTGATTGCCAGTGGTTAGAAATGGGGAGGAGGATTGGAAGAGAGGCTGGAGGAGGGAGATAGGGTGGCTGTAAAAGTCAACGAAAGAGATCCTTGTGGTCACCGAAATGCTGTTTCTTGTCTCTCTTAATGTCCACATGCCCTTCTTGGCAATGCACAATGCCGCCTTTGGGAGAAAATGGGTTAAGGGTACAGAGAATTTCTCTGTATTATTTCTGAAAACTGCATGTGAACCTGAATTTCTCTCAAAATAAAAAGCTTAGGGCCTCCCCGGTGGCGCAGTGGTTGAGCGCTGGGTTGCGAAGCTGCCCGTGGTCTCTGTGGCGCTGGTTCGATCTCCGGGTGCTCCCTGGCCACCAGAGGAGGGTCCCACATGGCGCGCAGGCCTCTCCTGCCGCCCGCTGCTCCCCTCAGCAGTGTACCTCGGTCCTTCTGCCTGCTCTGCTCCCCGCTCTGGCTCTGGTGAATTCTCTCACCCTCCCGCGCTTCTGACTGTACCCAGTGCATGTATAAACAAACAAACAAACAAACAAATAAATAAAACATGCCTCTATTAAAAAAATTAAAAAAAAATTACTAGACATGAGAAAAATAATATTTAAAAAAAATAAAAAGCTTAATTAAAAGAGGAGATAGAGCAGGAGTACTACCACTAAGAAAATAAGTACTCATTATTAAAGCTACAAATCTTCCTAAGTGAGTTCAGTTTACAAATCTTATAATTTTTGTAAACACTTGTAGGGGCATTTTGGAACTTGGTTAATTAAATTCCCTTAGACTTTTTTTTTTTTTTTTTAAGATTTATTTATTTTTATACAAGAGCTGGGGTATAGACCAGAGGCGCGGGAGGGTGAGAGGATTCACTAGAGACAGAGTGGGGAGCAGAACAGGCAGACAGACCGAAAGCACTGCTGAGGGGAGCAGCGGGCGTGACAGGAGAGATCTGCCCTGCCATATTGTAATCTCCCTGGCCGGCCGGGAATTGAACCCGCACTGCAGCAGCAGCAGACAGCTTCACAGCGCTGTGCTCAAACCACTGTGCCAATGGGAAGTCCCCCCCTCTAGACTTTTTAAACCACATTTCAGTTTTTAATATATTCAATTTCATTTATTTTTTTAAAAAAAGATTTATTTTATTTATGCATACAAGAGTTGAGGTGTAGGCCAGAGCTGTGGGGGGTGAGAGGACTCACCAGAGACAGAGTGGGGAACAGAACAGGCAGAACAGGCTGCTGAGGGGAGCAGCGGGTGAGACAGGAGAGGTCTGCTACGCCATGTGTGTTAGCTCCCTGGCTGGCTGGGAATGGAACTCATGCTGCTGTGGCTGGCCATAGCTTGATAGTGCTGAGACTTAACCCCTGTGCCACCAAAAAGGCCCCCAATTTCATTTTCAAATAATTGTCTGATTAACAAAATCTATTGAATATTTAAATGATTTTTGTACATCTAATGAATAAACTTCTAAATATAGGTTAATCTTATATTCCTTAAAAGCTTTGGTAATTTGGGCCTCCCTGGTGGTTAAGACACAACCTATGAAGCTATCTGCAGCCACTACAGCACGAGTTCAATCCCAGCCGGCCAGGGAGCAACCTATATGGTGCAGCAGACCTCTCCTGACTTGCCCGCTGCTCCCCTCAGCTGTGTACTTTGGTCAGTCTGCCTGTTCTGTTCCCCACTCTGTCTCTGGTGAATCCTCTCACCCCCCTCACCTTCTGGCCTGTGCCCCAGCTCTTGTATGCATAAATAAATAAATCTTACAAAAAAAAGTTTCAGTAATTTATACACAAATTTAATAAGAGTGCCTTATATGTTTCAACTTAAATCTACATAAAAATCTCATTTACACATTGAAAGCTAAAACTACACATTAAGGGCCTCCCCAGTGGTGCAGCAGTTGAGCACTGGGCTGTGAAGCTGCCTGCAGCCTTTGCAGCACCGGTTCGATCCCCGGCCACTGGCGAGGGTCCCACATGGCGCGCAGACCTCTCCTGCCACCCACTGCTCCCCTCAGCAGTGTGTTTCGGTCCTTCTGCCTGCTCTGCTCCCTGCTCTGGCTCTGGTGAATTCTCGCACCCTCTTGCACTTCTGACTGTACCCAGTGCTTGTATAAATAAATAAATAAATCTTTAAAAAAAAAAACAAAAGAAACCCTACACATTAATCTACAAATTCTCTTAAACAATTTAATTAAATACCAGATAGATACAGGTTATTCATAAATTGAACATAGAATTATGTTAATTTACTTCTTCACCTCAACACTTATTATGAAAATTTCCCAGGGTCAAGGATGTAAATCTACTAAAGACATAATATATTTTTCTGAAATAAACTGGGTTGCTGTGTGTGGTTAGGGGCTTGTAGTTGCAGTCTTTTGGGTGATTTGTCTTAGGAAGGCTGAGAAGATGCAAGTGCGCTAAGGACACACTGTTCAAATACCTTATTCTGATAGAATTATCTCCAGGGGCCTCCCTGGTGGCGCAGGGGGTTAAGCACAGCGCTATGAAGCTGTCCACAGCCTCTGCAGCACGAGTTGGTATCCCTGGCCTGCCAGGGAGCTACCCACATGGCGCAGCAGACCTCTCCTGACTCCCCTGCTGCTCCCCTCAGCAGTGGACTTCAATCAATCCACCTGTTCTGCTCTCCACTCTGTCTCTGGTGGGTCCTCTTGCCCCGCTGTACCTCTGGCCTGTGCCCCAGTTCTTGTATGCATAAATAAATCTTTAAAAAAAAGAATTATTTCCATATTGTCCAATTCTGGCAGGACCACAGCTTTTATGAGGGACAGAGCGGTCATGTGATCTGCCCATGGTTATCCAGCTAGTAGAAGGCAGAGCCTAGGTTCAGACCCAGGCTGTCTGGCTCATAGTTCTTGCTCTTGAGCCCTATCCCATCTACCCTTGCCACTGATCAGGTGCGGGGAGAGCAGGGATCTGAACTCAGGCCTGCCACACTCTGGTCTTGCTGTTCCACATTGCACCAGCCACTGGCAAGACAAGAAACGTGGATATTCCTGCTCTGGATGAGTTGATACTGGGGGTGCCTGGCTCTGCTCCCCTTTTCCTTGCCTCTTCTCATCCCCACAGCCCTTGCTTTCCCCAGGGCTTCTCTGTCCCTCCTATTGGCCCAGAGTGAGGCCCAGGAGCTTGGTGATGATGGTTGTGTTTCAACCTCTGCTCGGTGTGACACATGAGTAGCCATGAGTGGTTGGCATTGGGGCCTGTGTCATCTTGTGGATGGTGTGTCCCCTGGGACCTGACTCCAGGCCTACCACTGCTCTCACTCTCTCCCTGCTCTTCCCTGTGCTCTAGGGTTGCATTCCAAGCCCAGCTTGTTGAGGCCGAACCAAAAGAGGAATTCACGAGATAAGGTGGACCCTACGGAGATGCAGGCCAGAATCCGGCTGATGAGAGTATGAGAAGCTGCTTCCCACAGGCCCTGGACCCAGGAGTACAGCAAACATACACAGAGCTCTCCAGGGGTGCCTGACTTCTTCGTTTCCTCCTGCCTCCTGGCAGCAGTCCTGTGGGCACACTTATCCCTGTTTTACAGATGGGGATACTGAGGTGCAGGGAGATAAATGATTTGTACCTGTTCATACAGCCAGAAAGTGGTCGGTGCCAGGGTTCAGAACTAGTTAAGCAAAGTGTTTGCTGTTGCATTTAAGACTAAGAAAAATGATCAGAATCACTTTTTATTTTACTGCATTAGAAACAGTCTAGTGGCTTGTTCATTTTAAAATTTCCAGTAAATTAACCTTTCATGGAATGCAGTGCATCTTGAAGCAAGGCTTATTAGAAGCTTACTATTAGTTTTTCATACCAGTTGGTACAATTTTAGAAAATTAATTTTCTCACCATCCATTGTTTTCATGGTTCCTGTTATTGTGTGAAAGTTTCAGAGTATTTGAAATGATTAAAGAAGAGAGGTCTTTAACATCCGTAGCAGAAAGTAAAATAATAAACATTTCTATGTAAGTATTACATAGAAATATGGAATAATTCTGGACTTCTCAAGGAAGTTTTTTTTTTTTTAAGATTTATTTATTTATGCATACAAGAACTGGGGCATAGGCCAGAGGTGAGGGAAATGAGAGGATTTACCAGAGACAGAGTGGGAAGCAGAACAGGCAGACTGACTGAAACACACTGCTGAGGGGAGCAGTAGGCGAGTCAGGAGAGGTCTGATTCTCCATGTGGGTTGCTCTCTGGCCAGCCCAGGATAAAACTCATGCTGCAGAGGCTGCGGATAGCTTCATAGGTTGCGTCTTAACCCCTTGCACCACCAGGGAGGCCCTCAAGGAAGTTTTTAATAGCACAGTGAACAATGACTACTATATAAAGAAACAGGGGAAAATGTATTTGCTTTGAAACCATTTTTCTCCTTTAACCTTTAATTTTGCACAAATGGTTTAGAGATAGTCCAGTGTGCTTCATGGAGAAACTCATATTTCTGATGTTATTTTTATCCTGACTTTAGAAGGGTTTATGTATTTTTGTTCAGTATAAAACATGGACTTTGGGTGATTTGGTTCTAAAACCTATACTCCTAACCATTTCCTATAGCATCTCTTGTCATCATTCATTCATTGAATAGTTACTGAATACCTACTATGTGCCAAGGTGTTTTCTAAGTGTGGGTTTTCAGTGATGTGGCCTCTGACTCAGGGACCTCACATTCTACTGGGAGAGAGACAGTAAGCAAGACAAATAAATATATGTGTGGCAATGCTAAGAGCTATGAAGATGTATAAGGGTAAGATTGGGGACTATTGGGCACAGAGGAGGGAGTGGCTGTGACTTTTAGATAGGGTGATCAGAGAAGGCCACTAAGGGGCTGATAATCTGAAGGAGGTGGAGATCTGCAAGTGCATAGGTCCTGAGGTCTGTGTGACGGGGGTAAGTGAAGAGGGAGAAAGATGGCCAGTGTGGGGGGCATAGGGGGTAAACCTGTATATGGTGCTGTAGTCTGATTAGGCTTTGTGTTTATATGCTGAGTAGGACAGGAAGACCCTGGAGGAGTCTGAAGAGAACAGGGATGTGATCTGACTTAGGTTTTTGCCAGAATCTTTGGGCTGCCACTGCTGTGTGAATGGACTTTGGGGACGAGGTGGAAACAAGAAGTGAGTGGAAATTACTTAGTTGGTGTGTTTTGGAGTTGGAATAGGATCCTGATTCTTCCCCTCACTCTCAGGACACTGATTTGCTCCATCTGCAAGTCTTGAGAAAGTACATTCTATGTGCCAGGTACCATGCTGGGTGTTGGGGACACAGCTTTGAACCTGGCACCCAGAGTTTGTGCTGCATGGAACTAACACTTTAGTGGGAAGACATGTAATAAGTGAATTTTTAAAAACCCCAAAGAATACTCATCTGTTTGTTCAGCCCATAGCTCCGGAGCCCCAGGCACTGTGCCGTGTGCTGGAGGTGCAGCTGTGACCCATCCTGGCTGCATGTGGACATGGTAGTGGGGGAGACAGACAAGAAAATAGTGACTTTATGGGGGAAAGTTATCTGTTTCGCTTCTTACAGCAGCTCTCGGAAGCAGGTGTGAGTTTCCTGACCTTTAGAATGAGTATAGTCAGGCCCTGCTGGTTGACTAACTTGCCAGGTTCCCACAGGTGGTAAGTGCCAGAGGTGGGATTTGAAACAAGGTGTGATGAGGCCTAAAATCCAAGTCTTAATCATTACGAGATTCAGTCACACCTTGCAGTTTTCAGCCCACCTGGTTCCTTGTCTTAGTATAGTAGAAAGACAGACATTAGTCAGAAGTCGGCCTTTCCCCCAGTTCCTGTGCCATCACTTTTTGGCTGTGTGACTTTGGGCAAGTCACTTAACCTCTGAGCTTTCACTTATGAATAAAATAAAGTTAGTAAACCTAGGCTCTGAGAGGATGAACTAATAATCTGTGTCCTGAGCCAGGAGGCATGGTGCCTGACACATAGTAGTCCCTCAACAATTGTTATTGTAGATTTTATGTACCTTCTGTGGTGACCTTAGGCAAATCACTTAACCCCCCAGCCCCTTAATGTTTTACAGGGGTGTTGTATGAAATGAGAGAGAACAGCTCAGCTGCCTGAGAGAAATGGTGGTGGTTATCATTCACTCTGCCTCTCCTGCAGACATGGCCTGTCACCTCTGCTACCTTATCTACCTGGGGCTTTTCATTCACTTTTTAAAAAATATTTATTTATTTAATACAAGAACCGGGGTACAGGCCAGATGTGCGGGAGGGTGAGAGGATTCACCAGAGACAGAGCGGGGAACAGAACAGGCAGACTGAGGAAATACACTGCTGAGGGGAGCAGCTGGGGAGACAGGAGAGGTCTGCCGCACCATGTGGGACCCTTGCTGCCGGCCCGGATCGAACCTGCGCTGCAGAGGCTGCAGACATCTTCACAGTGCAGCGCTCAACCACCTGCTCCACCAGGGGAGGCCCCCTGGGGCTTTTCTATTACTACTTCTACTATTATATTTCATTGATTCTGAAAAGCCATTGATAATAAGGCTCACCTTTATTTTATTTGTCCACTAATAAAATATTTGTCAATTAGGTTGGGACAAGCTGCCAATTTTAAGACATGTCCCCACTTCAGAGATGTAAAATAGGGGGAATCGGGCTTTCCAGAAGGAGTGAAGTCGTCGGAGGTGCTCTGACCCGCACACAATGGGGAGCCACCGCCCCGCTTGGGCCGCATTTACCAGTGGCGGCCACGAGGGGCAGGTGTGCGGCGGGAGGACAGTGGTCCCCTAGCTCCGGGAGGCTGCGGGTGGGGCCCCAGCCTTGCCCTTCTCTGCCCGCAGGCGATGATCAGGAACCGGCGAAACGCACTCCAGGAGCTCTGCCACCACGAGAGCTTCCTCACCAAGCACAATCAGCACCTGGTGAAGACCATCCAGGACATGGAGGACAGCGTGGCCCAGACAGTGCGGACAAAGCTGCAGCAGCAGGAGACCCTCTCGGTGAGTCCCCACCCAGGCCCCGCAGCCCCGCCTCTGCCCTGGGCGCTGCCCGCCGGCGGGTCTCCGCCCTCCTTAGTGCTGGGGCGCCCTCTCCTGCCTTCTCTCCGCCTGTCCCGGCCCCCTGCACTTAGAGCCATGTGAGGCACTGCCACTACGTGGCTCGATGGGGAATATTATCTCTTTTACTCTTTACAGCAGCTCTCCAAAGCAGGTATGAGCTACCTGACTGCTGGAATGTGTACAGTGGGCCCTGGCAGGCTGGCTAGCTTGTCCAGGTTCCCATAGGTGTAAGTGCCAGAACTGGGGTTTGAATCAAGATGTGGTGAGACCTAAAATCCAAGTCTTGATCTGGACATGGTTTCCCCACACTCAGCGGCTCTCTCCACGTGGAAGATACAGCTCCTCCACCCTTTGCCCCATCCTCCTGGGCTTCAGAATCAGACTGGGATTGGGGGAGGCTTACCCCATAGCCAGCACTTACCAGCTGGGACACTTTGAGTTCACCTCTGAGCTCTGTAAGATGGGGCAGCCACCCCAAACGGGTTGAACTTGTTCAAGGTAGGTGGGCAAGAGAAAGTAACCATGCCCCCCTCCCTAGCATATACTTAATGCTGTGATACTGTTGCTTTTATATATTCATTATAATCCTTATAGCAACCATTGGGATGGACATTGTTATTCTAATTTTTTTAAAAAGATTTATTTATTTATGCATACAAGAACTAGGGTACAGGCCAGAGGTGCTGGGGATGAGATGATTCACTAGAGACAGAGTGGGGAACAGAACAGGCGGATTGACTGAAGTACACTGCTGAGGGGAGCAGTGGGCAAGTCAGGAGAGGTCTGCTGTGCCATGTGGGTCAGCTCCCTGGCTGGGGATTGAACTCATGCCACAGTGGCTGGCAATAGCTTGATAGTGTTGAGACATTAACCCCTGTGCCACCAGGGAGGCCTGCCAGTTGTATTTTTTTTTTTTTTAAGATTTATTCATTTATGCATACAAGAGCTGGGGTATAGGCCAGATGTGTATGTGTGGGGGGGGCGGTGAGAGGATTCACCAGAGACAGAGTGGGGAACAGAATAGGCAGACTGATAGAAATACACTGCTGAGGGGAGCAGCGGGTGAGACAGGAGGGGTCTGCACCATGTGGGTAGCTCCCTGACGGGCCAGGGATTGAACTCGTGCTGCAGTAGCTGCAGATTGCTTCATAGGTTGTACCACCAGGGATGCCCGCCGCTAGTTGTATTTTTTTTTTATTTTTTTTTTCGCTAGTTGTATTTTTAAGGAAAGATAATTATGACTGCAGTGTGCAGGATAAATCAGTAGACGACCAGTTAGGCATAACTATTGTAATATTTCAGGCAGAGATGAGAACTTGAAGAAGATTGGCAGTGGAGATGGAGAGAAGGGTGTGGCTATGAGGTTGGTAGGGGGGTCAAGTCCATACACCTTGGTGCCATTTTGGATGAAATGGGGAGTAGGGACTGATGCCCCATGTGAGGTAGGGCCATGGGCTGATGTGGGTGGTATAACAGGGAACGTTTGCAGGAGGGTGGGGCAGTAGGTGACTATTTCCAGCCTCTGCTCAGGGTGCCAGGCTGGGACCAGCACCAGGTTTGGGGACTCCTCTGAGAAGTGCCGAATGGCTGCTGCAGGCTGCAGGTCCCCGAAAGATTATGCTTTGGTGGCTGCAGCAGAGGCTGGAGGTGACTGACCACACGGCTCCCACAGAACGTCATCGACATCTTGAAGTACTCAAACAAGAAGAAGCTGCAGCAGTTGAAGTGTGAGCTTCAGGAATGGGAAGAGAAGGAGGCATCCAAAGTGAACCGTAAGCACCGGGAGGTGAATGCCACAGTCCTCCCCTGTCCCTGTGGGGAGGCCAGCTGCTGGACAGTCACTTGAACCTACTTTCCAGAAACTCCCCTCATCTCCCTTGGTGTAGGCTGTTGGAATTGTTAAGATGCAGAGCTTATCTGTGGAGTGCTTAGCACTTCCAGGCCCTGTGTGTCATTGTAGCCACCTGTGAGATGGGGACTCAGCTCCCTTTTTATAGATGAGGAAACTGAGGCCAAGGGAGGTGAAATGGGCAGCTGAAGGTTATGCAGCTGGGAGCCAGAATCCTACCTCATCCTGCCTTGATTTTTTGCCGTGGTCCCTCTGGGAGTCATTGCTGGGTCAGGACCCTGGTCTCCTTTCATCCCATCAAGCCTGTGGTTTCTTTTCACTGGGCAGTCTGGGAGTCTTCCAGATGGGGGCGGGGGGTGTTGTGTCAGGCACCTCACATGTTGAGGATCCCCTCCATGGAGGGTGACAGGATAGGCTTTGTCTAGACTGTTCTGTGGTAGTAACTTCTGGAACCAGTGTCACCTCACTCCCTGGATTCCTTGCCTTGGGAACATGTGCATGAGGAGACTGAGGCCCAGAGAGGCACAGTCTTCATGAGGGTCACAGAGCAAGTTGATGGCAGAACTGGGACTGGTTGAGGGGTCTTCACCAATACTTTTTCCCTCCCCAGCATTGCCTCTTCTGTGGGGAGAAGACTCCTTAGGCGCTTTAACTTTTACCACCTCTTAGCTTTGTGTGAGCGCCTTGGCCCGGGCCCCAATCCACTGGCCAAGGAGACTTCTTTGGAGGGGTCTGTGAGGGTGAACCCACCTCCTGTCCCTCCTGACCTCCCCAGAACTGGAGCAGCAGTTGAAGCACCTGACAGCCAAGATCCAGAAGACCCAGGAGGAAGTGAACTTCTTGAGCACTTATATGGACCATGAGTATCCTGTCAAGTCGGTCCAGATTGCTACCCTCATGCGCCAGCTGCAGCAGATGAAGGACAGCCAGCAGGTAGGTGGGCCCTGGCCCTGCCCGCTGGACCCCGCAGAGGCAGGGCTGAAGGCCAACACCCTCCTGCCGCCCCCAGGATGAGCTGGAAGAAATTAACGAGATGCGCAGAAAGGTCCTGGCGAACTTGTCCAAACAGATACGGGAGAAGCAGGAAAAGCTTCTGATGTCTCTGGTGGTGGTGAGTAACCCACTGCTGTGGGGCACCCAGGTGTGCCCCGACCCTGCTTTCTCCCCTCCATCCTCTGCCTCCAGGGCCCCTGCTGCCCCACCAGTCTCTGTCATGCCTGGCTGCCCAGGAAGAGGCACCCGGGGCCAGACCCCTTCTCCCTCCACAGAAAACCCAGTCTCCCCATGAGAAGGCGCTTCTGCAGAAGACCCGCGACACTCAGCAGTTGCGGAGATACTTGGAAAAGTTCAGAGAGGTGAGTGGGCGAGGAAGGTGGGAGTGGGCAGGGTCCCAGGATTTGGGGGTGTCAGACTGGTGTTCAGGGGACCTCCAGCTCTGGGGTGAGCCCTCCTCCTTGCCAGTGCTGTCATTGCTCGTCATTCATCTCAGAGGGGATGAGCGCTGCCGTAGGCCCTGCCTCCTGAGCCTGCGCCAGTCGTGGGCCTGTAGCGATCCCACGGGCGTCACCCACCAACCATCGTTTCACTGCCTTCAGCGACCTCTTAATTCTTGGCATTGACCGCTCACTACAGCGTGGACGCCCCTCACTCACCTCCCTCCACGTTCATTTTCATTAGCTCACGCCTTCGTGAGTCATTACCGTCTCCACCACCCCCATGAACTCTGAGCATCAGGCTCTGCCATCCCTTTGCAACCTGTGTCCGTTCTCCATGATCCCCTCACTTTGTCTGGCACGGTCAGATGTCACTAGCCTGAGCCTGCCTTGTCCCGCACCTGGGGCCCCTGCCGGGCGATCCTGGTGACCATGCCCAGCCATGTCCTTAGCTGTCTTTCTTCCTCTTTCATTTTGCCCTTTTCTCCCTGGGGCTGGGGGACCTTTGCTTCTCACTCTCCCCTGCTGGGCCTCTTCCATCAGTCTATTGGCCAGTTTGAAGCGGAAATACCCTTATTAAGGAAGGAGGTGAAACAGCTCCACATCCAGATCCTGGATCCCCGAGAGATCTTATTTGCGGACGTTCTGCTTCGGAGACCCAAGTAGGTGATCGTTCACACACTGGCCGTGGTCTGGACTGTTCTCAGGGCGCAGCTGAGTGCGGCGGGCGGAGCCCTGTGCAGGGAGGCAGGGTGCCCAGCCTGCGGCCCAGCTCTGCCTCTGACCTCGTGACCGCTCTGACCTTTCCCTTCTCTGGCCTTCGCGCCCCGTCTGCCAGCGGGCTGGGTTAGGGAACCTTTGTGGACCCTTCCGGTTCCCAGATTGCATATTTCAGTCTCATAGGGACACCCCTAGGCTCCTGGTATGTTCAGGAAGGCTGAGTTAAGCGGGGGTGGTTGAATGGCCTGGAAGACGCCCTGCAAGGAGAGGATGCCTTCTGTCTAGCATGCTTCTCCGCAAAGCCAGAACTTCCTTCCTGCCCGCTCCAGCTCTTTGCCTTCCCTCCTTTGGGTCTGGAGGATACTGGGTATCCTGGCTTGGGGATACCTCTAGGCCAGGCCTCTCCATGGGGGCACAATACAACCCTGGCACTATGACCCTCGTCGTGGCCTGTCCGAGCCCAGTCCTCATCCCTGTGTACCTCAGACCTCTGCAGGGGACATGAGTCCCGCCAACCCCACCCTGCCTCCATTTCTTACCTGTGTGGGTGCGAGCACGTGCACACACACACCGTTGCACATGAGTTCACGATTGTGTTTGGGGATGGGGCCCCTCGGCTAAGTAACTGTGTTCTCAGACAAGCCTCCTCTGAGCGCATGTCCCCGACCTGCAACTCGGGGACCCCCACTTGGCCCCTCTCACCTCTCTTTGCTCTTTCCTACCAGGTGCACCCCCGACATGGACGTCATCCTCAACATCCCCGTGGAAGAGGTGCTGCCCTTCTAGGGGCGGGGCCACGGCCTCCCCTCCCTCCCAGCCCTGTGCGCCTGGACCCTGGGCTTCACATCTCCATTCAGGCCCTGGCCCGCCGTCCCTCCTCGTACCTCCCTTTCCTCCCTCTCTTTCCTTCCTTCCCCCTCCTTTTGTCCCTTCCTCCCTCCTTTCCGCTTGGTACTGCTGCTTGGGCCAGGTCGGGATTCCCAGTCAAACCTGCCTTTCCTTTTTACCAGTAAAGCTGGGTTTGCTTTTGTGCTTTGCCAGTGCCTGGGGGTTCTCTACCTTGTAGCAGGTGTAGTGGGAATGGACATTGTCTTAAGCTGAGGGGTGCGCAACAGTACTGACCCCATCTGGGGCTCGAACCGCTAGAGCAGGGCTGGGGTGACCCCCTGCCTGAATCCCCATGGCTCGGTGGCTGTGGCCACTCCCTTCCTGGTACAGTTTGCCTCCCAGTTTGGCCCAGGCCTGTCAAGGCCAGTGCCAGGGTGGAGGGAACACGCTTGTGTCTGATACACCCAGGAACTTGCTGGGCCTTCATCACTGGGGCCGCCTCTTGTCTAGTGCCACCGCCTGTCCACTGCCTCTGCCCCAGCTGCATATGGACACGAGCAGAAGCCTGAGCCCGGGCACGGTTGGGCATAGTTTCCCTCCATGGTGGGCCAAGATGAGCCACCAGGACTCAGCAAGGACTTCCAGCAAGGACTTGTCTCTCCAGACACTGGTGGTGCTGGTGGCAGGTGTGTTTCCGTGCTCAGACCCTTCAGAGCCTGCCTCACCTGGGAGAACGCCCCACCCAAGGCCAAGCCCCTTCCCACACCCAGGGACCTCTTGGTGTTCAAATACCAAAGACCCAGCCCTCCCAGCCTCATTTGGGACAACTCTGAAGGGCTTTCTGCCTGCAGATGCTGCACCACCTCCACCTCCTACCACCACCAGGGTTGGTCAGTAGAACTATCTTGGGCCCACCTTGCAGCTTGACTTCTGGAAGTTCGGCAGACTTCTCCCTTCCCCAGTGGTCGATTCCATGGGCACTCACTAATACCCCGGCACCCCCTATTCCAGCTTAGAGTTGGCTTCCCTGGGGCCCCCAACTGCTGCAACTCCCAAGAGCCTCTGCCACTCACACAGCCACTCTGTTTGATAGGAGACTTGGTCACAAGTAATAGAATACCCCGCTCAGATTGGCCTAAAGAGTAACGGGCGCAGGTCAATACATATTCTGGGGGAGGCATGGCTGCACCAAGGACCCAGTTTCCACTTCTCTGCTCTGTCCTCCAAGGCCTTTTCCTCTCCCCAAGTTTGACACTCCTTGGCTCCCAGGATTGCTGCCAGTGTCTGCTGTGGTCGGGGTTGGCGTTCCCTTTCATGTCTTGCTGGAAAGAGAGTGTCTCTGTCCCAGAATTTTCAGCCAACCTTAAGGTTCACTGTGACTGGATTGATGACCTCACATGCCCACCCTGAGCCAGCCCAAGAGGGGAGTCTGGGGCACGTGTTCTGTCCCTGGGGGGAGGGGAAGAGATGGTGGTGGGACAGTGACTCGGGCTAAGCTGACAGGCCTATTCCAGAGCCTGTGGCTTTCCAGACAGATCGACAGCCAACACTTAGCTTGAACTCACTCTCTGCTTTGTAGATATCAGTTCAATCCTCATACAGCCCTGTCAGGTAGGTATTGTTAGCATTTCCACTCTCTGGGTGCAGGAACCAAAGCAGGAAGAGATAAGTGATCTTTCCAAAGCCACCAGGCTGGAAAGTTGCAGAAGCAGTTCCTCAGTCCCTATGCTGTCGGCAGCTCACTGAGCTGAACTGAGCTGCCCGTGTCAGAGTCATGATGCAAGGAACAGTCAAGCCTTTAATTGCTTACTGTGATGGTCTAGGGAAGAGGCTACTTGGAAGAAGGGCTATTCTAGCCTATTCCATTTTCCCCGTGAATGGCACCATGGAGGGTCAGGTGGCCCCAGAGGATGTAAGGAGCCTCCAAGAAGAGATTCCTGCAATTGTATGGGCCAGGGGGCCAGGGTGGGAGTGAGCGAGCTGCATAATGGAGAGAGGGAAGCCCTGCCCCCCCCCCAACTCTGTCTCAGTCCCATAAAGGGGTGAAAAGGCTCTTCTCTGCAGGAAGGCTGGGCTGGGAATGCATGAGGGCCTGGGGACCCAGGGGCTGAGGCCTTAGCTACAGCGCCCTCTGGCTGTGCCTCCCAGGCTTGTGTGTGGAGGGCAGCTAACCCTATGAGGCCTGCTGGGCAAAGCCTTTGGAAAGGCCTATGGTTGGCTTGAAAAATCACACACAGGTTTTTAGCAGGAAGCTGGACTCCTTATAGTGAAGTGACACTGAGTTCTGAGACAAGTGAGCAAAATCCCGATCTGAAGCTGAACATGCAGATTCCCTCGCTGGCACACAGCCCACGTGCCTGCAGCTGCAGTAGTTGCCCTGCACGTGCCAGCTATACCTGGAGCGCCCCAACCTACTCAGCTGCACGTGGTCCATCTTCAGACCCACAGGTGTGCCCCCGTGCAGGTGCACACAAATACACACAGGAGCTCTTGTTCCAGGCATCTCAGGCTTTGCATTTAGACTTGCTAGGTTGTTGGTGTAGTGAGGGTAGGAGGAGCCCATATATCTGGCAGTAGTTTCTAGAAGGTGCATGGGCCCAATAACATTGATGTCCAGCGGCCTTGGCAGTTGGGTTCTGAGTGTCCCATACCTATGCTAGGGCTAAGTGAGCTCTGGTAAAGCTGAGATGTCCAATGACATATTCATGGACTTGGCCATTGCAACGGAATCCTCTTGCCATTGTCAGGTGCCTGGGGCAGTAACAAGGAGCTGAGAGAGAAGCCTCTGGGTCAGCAGGAGTGTTGCATCTGGGGTGTGGATTTGTGGGGAGGGCCAGGACCATATCATTTCAGAGTTCTGCTCATGGTGAAGTTTTATTTTTTTTTTTAAGATTTATTTATTTATACAATATTGATTGATTGATTTATACAAGCACTGGGTACAGTCAGAAGTACGGGAGGGTGAGAGAATTCACCAGAGCCAGAGTGGAGAACAGAGCAGGCAGAAGGACCGAAGTACACTGCTGAGGGGAGCAGTGGCGGCAGGAGAGGTCTGTGCGCCATGCGGGACCCTCCTCCGGTGGCCGGGGAGCAGCCGGGGATCGAACCGGCGTGGCAGAGGCAGCGGGCAGCTTCGCAACCCAGCGCTCAACCGCTGTGCCACCAGGGAGACCCCCAGTTTTATTTTTTTAAGCTTTATTTATGCATATAAGAACTGAGGTACAGGCCACACATGTGGGGGGGGGTGAAAGGATTCACCAGAGAGTAGGGAGCAGGACAGGCAGATTGACTGAAATACACTGCTGAGGGGAGCAGTGGGCGAGACAGGAGAGGTCTGCTGCACTGTGTGTGTAGCTCCCTGACTGGCCGGGGATCCAACTCATGCTGCAGAAGCTGCAGAGAGCTTCATAGTGCTGTGCTTAATCCCTTGCACTACCAAGGAGGCCCATGGGTGTGGTTTTAAGTCACTGCCCCCTAAAAACTCTCCACACCATGCTGTCAGCTCAGCTGGTTACAGTGACCTCCATCTCCTGAGAAAATTTATGAGTATTAGTTATGAGTTGGCCCTCCTGTGCAGGGAAGTTAGAGGAAACTCTGCCTTAGGCAACTGGTTTCATAGGATCCCAAATCAGCACAATTGGGCTTCCCTGGATAATGAGAGGATCCTGCCCTGTTCTGTGTCCACCCATCATCCTTTATTGGGGTAAGGAGGGCACAGTGTGAGAAGGAGCAGGTGTGGGGGGTGTGCTTCACTGGCAAAAGCAGGCAACTGGGGAATCTGCAAGCAAAGTGTAGAATGCCCCTAAGGTGGAGAACATACCTGAAAGGATTGTGGCAGGCGTGACCCAGGCACCATTTGGATGACCAGGCATTATTTTTAAATTTTAGTAGGGGCTGTTGGGAAGGCCTGTTGCGGACCTTTGCAGAGTCCCGTTAACCAGGTGAGTGGAAGTTCCACTGAATTCCCTGTCCTAAGCTCAACTCTGGGTATCTTGTGAAGTGCGTTGTGAGCCTGTAGGGTATGTCAGGCTTTTCTGCCCTCCCGCCATCAGGATAGATGATGGATCCTTGCGGTCCTGAATGCATGCCTGATGGCGGGCACCTGGAGTAGGGTGTGGGCATAGGTAGATGGGATTCACCTGGGCTGAGACTGGGCTTTTAAGGGCGGCGTCACGGGGACGCCAGCAGAAGCCGAGAGAAGGCCAGAGAGCCCAGAGTGAAGACCTGTTGGGGGCTGGGAGGCCTGCCAGCCTCCCGGCCCCCCAGTACCTCTGCCTGCCGTGTACCTGCTAAATCCCAATAAAAGCCTGCAAAAAGCCACTGAGAACTCTAACTCCTCCTTTACCCAGTCTGCATGGGATCAAAGAAAACCTGCTCAGTGGTCATTCCTGACCCCAGGTCCCCCCAACCCCCCCATAACTTGGGGTGTCAGCCTGCATCAAGCCAGTGTGGCCACCATGGCGTGTGCATACCGGGTATCGCCAGCAGGTGGCGGTAAAAGACAAAAATTGACCTGTTGACGGCTTTTCTGGCTGGTAGGGCACTCGGTCCCGCAGCTTGTAAACTGCCAACCGCGCGTTGGCAATTATTTCAGAGTTCGCAGTTGGAGATGATGCTTTTGGCCATTAGCTTGGCGAGTGAGACGTTGGTGATGCGCCCATCGCTGCTATCTGCTCCCTGCCTGCAGGCCCTGCCTCTGGCCTCTTCTCGCAGGTGTTCCCTTTTCTAGCCTCAGAGCCTGCCTCCCTCCCAGCCAGCGTTTCCTGCTCGGCCTTGCACTGGCTGGTCTCACTCTTTGAATGCTAGTCACAACGTCTTGGAGAGGCTGGCTCATCATGCGCTCTTAGTTTCTTTCTTTCTTCAGCGAGGTCTTACCATATATTCGGCATCGCTTTCCATCAAGTCACTCGGTTTTAATTTCTTGATAGAGAGATTACTATGTGATCCTGCACGTTTATTTCTTTTTTTATGACCGAGTCTCTCAACAATAATGTAAGTTTCCTAAGGGTAGACGATTTGTCATTCTTGCTTCCTGCTACCCCTAGTGTAGGGAGCCGTTCCTAATACATAGTTGGTGCTCAACGCATATTAAGTGGGTGAACAGGCTCCACCTCTTGTAAGGGGGGTTTCAGCGGTGACACTTGCACCCTTCACCTGAAGGAAATGATCCAGTGAGGTGGCAAAATGGGGTGTCTGACAAATACACTGCGTGATAAGACAAATTGTGATTAACCCCATCATTCCAGCAAGGTCAGGATCGCTCAGCCATGGGAAATAAATGCAGTCCCTCAATGTTTCCATTTGCTCCGTTGGCATGCCCAGCTTTGAGGGGGCGGGTGTCAGCTCTCCCAAGATATGAGTAGTTCTCAGACTCCAGTGGTTTCAGGCTCAGATTATTCTGATGGTTTGTCACGCTAGTAAAAATAATGACCTTATTAACCAGGGCAGCCAGGATTGACTTCACAGGTGTGTCTCATAGGTCCCCAAATCCAGAAAGAATTCTCTGTTTTTATATTTTACTGTAGCTGTCACAATATTCTTAAGTTGAGAGCAAGGGCTCACATTTTCATTT